TTAAATACTCCTACCTTTCTGCTTGGGACAAACATGCTCTACTATAACCTAGTTTCAGCACTCAGAAACCTTAATGTGTAGTTTATTATTCACATCCATCATGAAAAACTACATAATCATACATTAAATGTTTTAAAAATAGTCAACATAAAGTACAGTGAAGACCAGAGATGGTACAGACTGTCTCGTGGCTTACAGGATTCCCTCCCATTCCTGGACTGGCCTGGGTGGCTAAACCCTGTACAGGAACTTTAAAGCCCTTCGTTACCTTGTTGTTGTTTGCTGTCAAGTCACAGCTGACTTATGGCGACCTCTGGTGGGGTTTTCAGAGCAAGAGACGTTCAGAAGTGATTTGCCATTGCCTGCCTCCATGTCACGACCCTGGTATTCCTTGGAGGTCACCCATACAAATACCAGCAGGGCCAGCAACCAAATAAGATCCGTGCCCTGCGGGACTTGTTACAGTCCCACAGAGCCTGTAAGGCAGAGATGTTCTCCTGTGAGATAGCGGCATTACTGGCTTCTCTTGCGCCATCTTCAGTTATATTTCTCTGTTACTGGTTTTTAATCTTGTTTTAATTGATGTCGTACACCACTCTGAGCCCAGTGCCGGTGGAAGGCGGTTGAAAAATCTAAATAAATAAATAATCAGTGGCTCCAAGATCTGACGAGATCAGGCTAGCCTGGGCCCACTTACTTGAAAGATGGCCTCTCTCTTCATGTTCCCCAGCAGAAGCTTTGTTCTTCCCAGCAAGTTCTACTGTCTTCACAGCAAGTGCTACTGGCAGTACCCCCCTTGTTTAAGGCATGTTTGGCAACAGTCTGGGCCTGAGCTTTCTTGTATAAGCAACTGTAAAATCTACCAATCTAGCTAGGCAGTCCAGCCAGCATTCAAAGTATAAAGATGCAGATAGCCCACTTAAGTCAAATATCCAGCAGCAATCCTGCTTTTGCTGCTAAACTGGAAGTGCAAAAAAACAGGATTGTCAAGCATATGCCAGGCCACAGAATATGCTGGTGGTCGTGTTTGGCTTGGAAGGTCACAAAATCTGCAGCCATGGTGTAGCCCCTGCATTTTTAAACATTTAAATTTTATGTAATGGTATATATAAGCTATAGTAGAATCTGTCCTTTGTAGCTTTGTGCTTGTTCATGTGTGCAGTGGCCAAACTGAATTTCTTACACCTGGTTATGGTAAGGCTCCTGTTCTTCCATGACACTGTGGTAGAAGTAGCATATGAATCAGATGTCCTATTGTCATGGTTCCTGCATTTGACGGCAGAACTGGTTCTTATTAAGCAAGCATGCATTTATTTCTTCTTCACACTCTGCTTAAGACAGCCATAGACAAATTCAAACCAGAAGCTATTCTCATGTAGGAAATTCCAGTGGTGACGCGTGTAAGCCAGTGGTATCCTTGAGTAATCTGTTCCAGAGTGAATTTAACCAATTATAAAGCATGTTTGGTTGAGTTACAGGGAGCTTAATTCAAGATCTGAAGCCAGTCAGCCTGATTTGTTTGGTTTTCTCTTGAGTATTGCCATGGCTGAGTGCAACCCATAATTTATTTTTTCATTTGTGAGGTACAAATACTCTTCTGAAGGCATTAAAAAATTGAGCTCCTTATTTGGATATTCTGGTGAGTTCATCTCACCGAAATCCCAATTTCTATTCACGCTTTGGAGGCCCATCTCTCTTTATGCACTTTTTCACATGCTTCTTGTCTGGTGAACATTTGATGTCTTCATATTGAATTCTGACAGCATTTCTTGCATTGAGGTGAAAGAGAAAGATACCAGCATTAGTCATATATTTCCATAATCTGTTTTTAAATGTAATACGTGATGAAAATTTGGAACTGCCCTGACCTGGAGGACCCAGGCTAGCCTCATTCTGTAAGATCTTGGAAGTTAAGTGGAGTCAGCCCAAGTCAGTATTTGGATGGAAGCCCACCAAGGATGTCCAGAGGCACCCCATGGCAAACTATCTCTGAACGTCTCTTGCCTTGAAAACCCTACAGCAGGGTTGTAAAACATGAAGCCCATGGGCTAGATCAGGCCCTCAGGGGACTTCTGTCAGGCCTGCAGTGGAACTAGCTGTTTCTTGCTTCCTTTTCCAGTGCTGGTGGTGGTGGTGGTACGTCACAGGTTGCTTTACCAGACTCTCTCAGTCGCACAGGAGAGACAGATAGGCAAGCCTCTCCCGTGCGATTGAGAGAGTCTGGTAAAGCACTGGCTGAGTCTCCTCCCCCTCCCCCTCCCAGCCAGAACTCACTTCCTGGCCAGGCTGCTTCGATTGTATACAGGAGACAAAGGGAAGCCTTTCTTTCCTTCCACTGGCTGAGGCTCATCCCTGAAGGGAGGGAGGGAACAAAGGAGAGCTTGCTTTGCTGGGCTGCCTCAGTCACATGGGAGAAATACCAGGCACCTTTAAGACCAACAAAGTTTTGTTCAAGGTATGAGCTTTTGTGTGCCTTGCTACAGTGTGTGTGTATTCTGTTGGGTTCCTTATGCTCTCTGTGTGTATTCATGCCCTCATGATCCAGTCTTCCTCCCCCTTTTCACTGTATTCATGCCTTCATGACCCAGTACTTCTCAGTAAGAAAGCAATGTGAACTATTTTAGAGGAGGAATAACAACAAGTCAGTGAGGTGGATTAGACTGAGAGTGTGTGTCCAGACCAAGTTCACCCAGTACATTTCCTTCGTGGGATGTTGTAGTTATTTCTCTGGGGGAGACTATAGTTTTATCAACAAACAGACAGCCCTCAGTCTGTGTCAGGATGCCTTCTCGTGTTCTTGACCAGCACATGAAGCAACTTATGCACAAAAGGTTACAGTGTCCAGTCATTTCATGTTTTCCCCTAGGTCCTAAGCTCAGAACACTGAACATGAGATTTCTGTAATGAATGTCAATAAATCAAAAGTAGGTTTGCAGCTTACAGATACACACCTGAACAGCATACTCAAGATTGCTACAGCACAAACATTTTGATGCAATAATTCAGAGCAAGAGGTGTCAGTTATCAGAGACAGTTAAATAGACAAAATATTGCAAAGGCGCTAGTGTTTTAAGCATGTTCTATTTAAAGTTTAAAAAATCTTTAATTGTGTTTGTCTGTGTCCTTTATAAAGTTTATATCTCCGCTACCTGGCATTACATTTTATTACACACATGGCCCGATCCAACAGCGTCTCATTTAATTCAGATCCGGCCCTCATAACAAATGAGTTCACCACCTCTGCCCTACAGGGTTGTCATGTCAGCTGCAACTTGATGGCCCTTTCCACCGCCATAGCAAGAACTGGGAACAACATCTTTGAAACTATTGTAAACCAACTTGAACCAGGAGAGAAGGAAGGATAGAAATGTTTAATAAATAAATATTAAATGAATAAACTATTTCAGAGTTTCCTATTATACATTCCTTATATTTCTTTTATCTTGGTCTACGTTTTTGTTTCCTATACCTAGACGTAATTGAGATGAATGGGGGAAAATGGTCTTCAAGATACTATGCAAGATTTTATTGTCCAGTTGTTCTTACTTCTGTAAGCTGCAATGTGGGTCTTTGAGGTGGATGTTGTTGGTGATGCGGGAATGTAAATTGTTTAAAAATTATGCTTTATGAATTTCCCATTATTCAGTTTTCCCACGCCATGTAGAGGACAAATACTTGCTTAAATCTCTACCAGAAACCAGCCCTTTGTTATGGTGGTTGTATGCAGATGGATGCTACCCTCCACGGAGCTGTGTCCACAGTTGATTCTCTCGTGGAGAATTTTTAGAGTACTAAAACTTAACTACAATCATGTAAGATTCAAAGCAGATCCAAAAGATAAATGCCTTTCCCCTCTCCCCGCCAATACATGTTACTTAGAATTAGATTGATTGGGAATTTGTGATTTTTGGCCTTAGGATCTCTCATACTCACGTTATTCTTTCTGAGCAGCAGCTATTTAAGAACAAAATACCAAGAATGTCCTACAATAACATTCATTGAATAAGAGTAAAATAATTCCATACACATTTCTCTGTCTTTATCATATCTTTTGCTTTTATCCCCAGGGTTTAGAACAGGTTTTTTTAAAAAACGTATGCTTTTTCAAAAATTGCATTTGAAAGTGTTGTTTTTTCAGTTCTTTTTACTGTCCTAGCAATGCACAGTACTCCTGCATTCTGGAAAATGTATTCAGTTTTGCATTGCCGTAATATGTATAAACAGTGTATTCAGAGAATGTTTTCATCAGCCCATAATTTAGTCTGGAAAAAATCCTTGATTTCCCTTGCGTCTTATCTTTGTGTAAAGCAGCATGCAGGAGTATCAGTTGATTTGCTCTTCTTCAGAAAGACAGTAATTGTGTGCAGCGTTTCCATGGCCTCTCCTCGCACACCGTAGCCCGAAATACGCCTTCCCAGTCCTGCTCTTTCTCGTCCCCTCTTCCCCAGGAGCAGGTTTTCACGGGACATTTCAGGCTGTTGTGAAAGTCACACTCTGAGGGTAGAAGTCCTTTGGCACCCACAGAAATACTGTGCTAGATCCAACATATTGCAACATGCTTAAAAACAAATGTAAATACTGCCTAAAAAGTCAATCCTTATTTCCCAAGGTAAGAAATTGTCAGCCTAAGAGGTAATGTAAAAGAATCTGCACGTGCTGCGTTAATGGAGGAGAGGAGAATGCCATAAGCGGCTCTGGGTCCCCAGTGGGGAGAAAGGAAAGGTACAGATGAAGGAAATAAATAAATAAAATATTTTTCAATCCTGTTAGAAGTGAAAGCGGTTCATAGTCGTAGCCTTCTAACCATAGAAGTATCTGGCTTTGGCTGCTCACTCATGCTTATTCTGCCACCTCCTTCAGTCATTACTTCAAAATGTATGTTTTGTTTTTGCCTTTTCCCCCCCCTAACGAAGTGCCAGGCTGAGGATCAAACCCTGTATGGAGCCCCTTAATTTACACCATCAGGTGCTTAACGAATTCCATGTCTGATTTTCTTGCAGCTTAATGATGAGCTGGAGAAAGGTGAGAGGGACAGTGCAGAGCTACAAGAGTTTGCCAATGCCATTCTACAGCAGATAGCCGATCACTGCCCTGACATCCTGGAGCAAGTTGTCAATGCCCTCGAGGAATCGTCATGACCAGAACCGATGCAAGGCCTCCCAGGAGAAGCATGCCCAGGGGCTGAGCCCAGCCCGTCCAAGGAGTCATGGGGATGAAGAAAAGCAAGAGGGGAGAGACCAGGACAGGAACTTTTGGTGCACCTTTTTATAAAAACAAAAACTGAACTGAACTGGTATCTCAGCTCTTCCAGTCTAGAAGTTCTGAATCATGCCTGCATTCATCTTCTCACTGCCTTTTTAACTTTGGAATACGCCTCCCAGTTCCTTTTCCTGCTGGCTTTTGGGATGTGTCGGCTCAAAGATTTGCTGGGCCCAGTAAACGCGGGAGTGGCAATATTTTGGACACAGCTAGTTCTGGTGGCTCACTGGGTGCTGGTGATGGAGCACTTGCCTTCACTTTATTTCCCAGTTGGATGGTGGAAGCTGAGCATGCTCCAGTAGTGGCCAACACCAGTTTAGTTAGCTCACAGTTGGCTGCCTGTGTCTGCACAAATGTTTTACTTCGAAAGGGGAAGTTCTCACAGAGGGAGAATACCCCTTGTTCTTGACAGTCGTGGCAGATAAGCAAAGATGCAGAATGTTATTGTGTAGCATCTTCTTCATACCAGGAGCTGCATTTTTGTTTACCATATGGGCCCTGAAATGCTGGCCACTGTTTCATTTAGCTGGCTTCCCTTATCTGGCCATTCGTAGTCATTATCTCCTCTGTGTATCTTTGCATTCTCATTTATAGGATGCTTTCTTCTTTCTTGACTTTTTAAACAGTTTCTAGTTTTACTTCTTGAACCGTACCTAGTAATTGGGTACTAAATATGGTCACACCTAATGCTTTACCTTCCCTAGCACCCACTGGCTGATTAGTGAGTCCAAAATAATTTATCTAAACGGCATCCTGTTCACAAAAGCCAAATTAACGGCCTGGATAGGAATCTGAATATTTGTACGTTTTGCACTAACTGTGAACATAGTTTTATGCCTGTGCAGTGTACTGGTTTTATGCGTAGTGTCATTCTGCAGGTATTCAGCAGAGTAATGCTGGTGTCACTGTGTTCTTCCTTAGAGGAACTAATTCTTTCTGTAGATTCTCAGAGTTGATAGTACCTTTAGAGCCAATAAGAGAGAAGTGGTCAGGAACTAAGAAGAAGTAGAGGAAAGATTGCCCACTCTTAAGTTGTTTTTCTTAACTGTTTTGCCTCTGTACTCATTGTCCTACTCACCATGTTTGGTTTTCCCAGCTTAAGCATCTCATAGATGGAAGTTCCCACAATGTAGTTCCCTTGACCCTGCATTCCAGGTTGGTAAGGCAGACACTCTGAAGGCTTTTTTCCACCTGATTTCAGAGGCCATACCAAATGTATCAAAGAATTCTTTCCACTTTCTTGTATTTTACTCTCTTCCACTTGTATTCCCCCCCCAAAAAAAACAAAAACAAACTGGCAACTCATATCCTAGGACATCACTGATTTTTTTATATATATAGAAAGGAAGGTAATCTCTGAAAACTAGCACTCACTATTATAGTACTGGCATTTTATTGTAAAGGGATGCAAGGGGGCCATCCGGTGCCAATTTGTTTTAGTGATGTTCAGCTTCTTACTTAATGTAGCAGCTGTACTTGAGAAAGGAGGTGCAAGGTAAGTAAGCTTACTTTGTCTTCTCCCTGGGGTGTTCTAATGAGAAGTTTATGTTGCACCTTCATGGATTTTGGAGATCAGGGGTGGTAGTTTTAGAACTAATAACCTGTGGCTGATGCTTTTTGTCACAGAGCAATAAAATGGGTGGTGGTGGGGAGACCTGATTGTTCCCAAGGTCGAAATTGCCTTTACCGGAAGGCATGTAGACAGTGACTGTACATACCACTGAGCCATGCCTCATACCAAAGCCACGCCTTTGGCCCTATTGTTTGAATCAGCGCATTTTGATCAGAGCTTCTGTTTGGAAATCCTCCCTTCTAGCTTGTTCTTCTTCATCCCTAATTACTCACTGTAGGAATTTAATGCTGCCTGTAAAACTATCACAACCCTTCAGGCCTAACATCTTCCCACCACCACCACTCCCTGGCTATCCCATTAAGTTATATGGTTGGGTCTCCAGCTGCCCTTGTTCCCTGCTGTAAAACAATCCACTCTCTCTGTGGGAGAAGCTGTGGAATTTTCCTTATCGGTGGTTGAAATGACTGGAGCTTGTAAACCTCTTATGTGAGATGCTTCTTGATAGCATTTGCTTTGGTGAAGAGTAGGGAGGGGAGCCGGTCAGAGATAGTCGCTTGTGGTTGCTGCCTCATCCCCATGTGTTTATTGCACTGCCCATATATTGCAGTTCTCTGTCCTAGTATTTCTGGAGCCTTTAACTCAGCTGCCACCATGTGGCTGTGCTACTGCAAACACACACACACACACACACACAAAACCCTGGAATTGCTTCAGCAGACACATGCCCTTCCCAGCAATGCAATGACTGCAATGAAATGGTGATAACACCCATTGTTTACACTCTGCTCCACTCACAGCATGTTTTCTGGAAGGATTTGTGGAGCAAAGCCAGTTCCCACGCTGGCCATTTGGTTGCTGTTTGAGCCGTTCCCCCTCCATCTCCAAATCTGGAATATGTCTGTCTTGCAACTTCTCCCTATTCCCCCCACACACACACACACACAAAAGTACAACTCTTCCACCTCATTCTGTGACTACACTAGAGCCCATTCTAAGCCTATCAGTAAAGAGGTTTCAGAGAAAGAGAGAGAGAGAGAGACTAAGCAATATTTTACCTAACAGCTGAGCATATTTAGCTTTATCATTGATGAACCATTGTGGATAGTCCTCTTGATGCTGTTGGTGTAGTAGTGATGCCTCACCATATTTCTTTAGGAACTATGAGGCCTCAAGTACAAGGCTTTGATCATGTTGGTGGGGTTGAACATGACCTGTTTCAACTTCTTTCCTTTAATGTAGAACATTAGACAACTAACTTCCTTGGAAGTCAAGTTGACATTGACTTCACTATGAGATGGTGTACCAGCATGCTCAAGTGAGAAGGGATGCTAGATATATGTGGCCATCTGATTGCCAGGACAACAGTCATTGCTGTTTGTTCCTGTGACAAGTAAGATTCATCACCTCTGTTCAGTAAAGATGGCTCTGGACAATTGTTCCACAATTGTATCATTTTGATTGCTTTGCTCCTGAGTCCAGTATTCAAGAATATCCTCTTATCAATGAATTCCAACATACCTCTTGCCACATTGAGTTTTATTTGCAGGTTTGTAATGAGCCTGGCTTTGTTTAAGGAGTGTATGTTTCCTGTTTCAAGCTATAATAATGTTAATTTGTTAAGCATCAAAAAGTTTTGTAAACTGCAGGAATCCTCCATAGAAGAGGGAAATGGGACAGTTCATCTTACTTTGTGTGAGAGAAATCAGAAAATTCGTTGACGTGCTGATTGAAAATCTTAGTGATCGTCAAGAATGCAAGGCCGAATGGTAATCCTGATATAAACAATACTTCAACCGTGGAATTGCATAATGACACTAGCTACCAACATTTAAGGAAAGAATTAATGAAGGTACATCTAGAGGAAATTGGTCTGTTACAGTTATTGTGGTCATTTAATTGTTTTTTCACTCAGCAATGCCAAATGCTCTCTGGAATGCTCTCTGGAAATCCTAAACCTCAACTACAACTTGATGAATGACATTATGATGAGACACTATAAGGTATGCCATCAAATATCATTTAGAGAAGGGAAAAACTCAATCAGGTATAGCTCCAGGAAACTTTTCATCTAAGGGAATTTTCTCTGTTTATTTTGTGAGCGAATGGTGAATATTTTGTCATGGAAGTTTTAGACAACTGTTTCTATCCATTCTGATATTTAGGGGGTACTCAAGAAAATTCTTGTATCTTGAAAAAAAAAGTTAATGAAACACCATTTTCCCACTGTCTCGTACCTTGTTGCGCTTGAGTGCCATGGAAATTTTCTTATCAAAAGGTAGTGGGATGGCTTTTTTGAATATTGGTTTCTGTCTTAAGTATAGTTTTCCTGACATCACTATAGTATAAGTTCTTGCAGTGACTTTATGAAGTATCTTTCTGTCAAAGTGCTTGGGTTTTGAAGGAATCCTTTCAGAAAACCTAGCAGCAAAAGAAATGGAAAGCAGAGTTCCCTATATTTAATAACACTGCCCCAACAAAGCTAGTGGGGTGGGAATGTTTTGGGGCTGCCAGTGGGTGTTTTGGGGCTGCCAGAATTGACAAGGTAGATTCTTCTCTTGCCAATCACTCAGACTTGTCAGCTCAGCAGGTGCTGTTTTTATATAAAAAATATTTTTTAACTTTTTTCCATTTAAGTAGAAAAAGACTGATCCTTCTGAACAAAATGGCTGTGTCTGCTGATCTTTTTTTAAAAAAAGAATAAAACCGTTTCCAAACTTTTTAGTGTCAAAAGCATAAAAATAAGAATAATGACTTTTTTCCAGTATGTGTGGCGAGTGCTGTAACCTATCATCATTGGTATTTCTCCCTCAACTTTTTCAGGGTTTTTGGAGTTTTTTTAATTTCCTGTTTTGTTCTCTGCTTGTCGATTATTGTCTATGTGGTCCTCGGGCTGAGGCAGTTACTGACAATGTGTGTCTATTGTTCGATTTACTTTAAAAAAAAGATAGAAGTAGAAATGAAAATAAAAGTCGTGTTAAAAATATAAACATTTAATGTGTCATCCAAAGGAATTCAAAGTATGAAAAGGCAAAGTTCTAGATTCCTCCTCCCAGTTTCTGTAAGAACGTGGATTTTATTTTGTTTTGTTATTTTTTTAGGCTCATGGTACCTATCAGTTGCCTTTGACAGACCAAGGAAGACCAAACCGGTGTGGCCTTTTAGGAATGTTATTCTCTTGGCTTTTAATGCACTGCCATACAGATTGCTTTTAAAATGCAGAACGGGACAGTGATTGGCTAGTCTTTGCTAGCCACTACTGTCTTTTGTGGATATCCCTGGGGGCTGTAATGCTGCAGTTTTGGCTTAACATTTGGGATGCATTAGAGCATATTTGCATACAACGATAGTCCTAGTTGTGTCTCATGCAAGCTGTTTAGCATTTCTAAATGCACCTTCAGCTCTGCCAATGCCATTTACATGTGTGTGGTTATTTTGTACCCACCTAGTTTTGAAAACATTCCTCTAGAATTGCCTGTTTTTGTATCAAAGGGGTTTGTAGTTCTTTTCTATACCACTGGGTTAAAATATTTGGACTTAAAGGGGGATGGAGAACATAAAATCCATGTATAATAAAGACACTTCTTGTTGCTACTGATCGCATCTATAAACATGAATGTACATTTTTAAAAAACCTGATTAATTTGGGGAAATGGCTATAATAATTCCAATTTGAGGTTATCAGTGCTGTGATAGTGGGATCTCTTTGACTGACAGCTGTTCCAGCTGGAATCCCAAGTTGGAAAAATACTGGCACCTGTAATCTTTCTCTTGGAGCATGCTCGTTAATGTGAGTTCTAAATGCTGAGCCTCATTTAACTGACATTACTCCATTAATCTGGTTTTCCCCATTGACCTCTCCTTCTCATCAGTTTGCTCATATCATGGTTTAGGTGGTTATCAATTCACTAACTTGGGTTTTGATAAGACCTGTTTGTGTTGAGACAGTATCTTAAGTTCTGTGTTTCGACTTGCCCTCAGTTCATCAGGCTTTGGTGCTTACCAGGCGTTCACTTTTAGGTTCTGAGGGATGATGAAATAAATAGGATTATATACCCCCTCACCAAAAAAACCCTCCCCGTATAATTCCATATGACATGCTATTCATCCATACTTGCCAAAACAGTATTCTTGCTTCCCTAGGGTTCATCTCATGCTAAAAGTTAAAAATTCCAATTTAAGGCAGGGCCAGTGGGCTGTCATATTGAGTGAGAAATTATAGGAAGTCCTCTATTCTCCCCCACCGTTTCACTACAGACGGCAATCTTTTATCTACTTGGAAAGTGGTATGTTGCACTTTAATGGAGGAGGAGACTGGCTTTGCATATATAGTCCTGGCATACTTTGAGTTCCTTCTGGAAGCAGCAGCGGCGGGAGGTGATAGATGTCTGTGGTGCAAGTGCGCAAGCTGCCTTCAACTTGTACGTGTTTTATTGATGGAGTCATGTTACTGATGGGATAATGAATTGCAAAGAAAATCGTGTTATATATTCAACTTTGCCTTGATAATATAAACACTTTTGTTCCGTTTTTTTCTTTTTTATTCACAAACTAAGTTCATGAGGAAATTATAAAGTTATTTAAAAGCAGTGTCGTCTCTTCTTTTGAATGCCTTTATCTTACTTTTTTCGTGTGTTCTGTATGGACAGGTTCCCAAATGAGATGAACCTCCTTCTTGCTGTGGGATTTCCTTCCCTGTCCCTATATGCCATTGACACGTTGCCTCAAGAGAATGCATTGCAGTCTGAGACCCTGTAACCGGTGATGGAGTGGGTGTTTTCCACATATGGGAATAAGCTTGGGTGGCTTCCCTGTTGCCATGGCAGCTGCTGATACAGTGCAGTGGCCAGGAGGCCTCCGCTTGGCAAGTTTCCCTGACCCAGTCCCCCTCCAGCGGCCATTGCCCCTCCCCTGGGCTACTGGGGCTAATTCACTTGTTTAATCATCAGTTTCGTATTGTTGCATTAATATACTACTATAACAATAATTGTAACAGGGTCTGTGAATTTCCAGCTTTTGTTGTTTTTAATGGCTCTAAGCGCCTTTCCCCATATTTCTCTGCAACAAACAGGGCTAGAGATTTACTTTCTAATGAAAGCTGGAAATTCATAGAACCTGTTACACTTATTGTTATAACAGTGTGAGTGTATTAAAGCCCCCTCTGTGGGGGGAGGAAATGGCTGCCGCAAGGACAAGGTCAAAAAAAATGGCTGGTATGTGGACAGGGAAATCCAAACTTTTCCTCCCCTATGCAGCCATCCAGGCTTTACTGCAGTCTTTCCCAAAACATCACAGTAAAGCAGGTTTAAGAAAGATTGGTAAAAAGCCAGGGAAATCCTGGGAGGTGCACAAATGCACTACGATGTAATAAGGAACCAGGGGGGGACACACTTCTCAACAGCATTGAGCCCATCTGGAAATGGCCTAGGGCTGAACCATGAATATTGTGCACACAAAGCATGTCTTCTATCCTTAAACTGTACCCCCTCCCCAGAACACATCCCATCAGCCCACAAACCTATAGAGAATGCTTTTTAAAGTAATGCTGGTGTTACCTGCATTTTCACTTAGTCATGTGAGCATTCAATAGACCTCCAAAGAAAGGGTCAAGCTACCAGCTCTTCCCCATACTGCCACCAGCAATGCCTTCCCAATAAAATATAACCTACTTCAAACATCGCCCACTGTGCCTCTCTAGCACAATCAGCAACATTTTATGCCGTGTGGGGTTTCAGAACTAGAATGTGGTAGAACCGAAACTGCTTGTGATCTAGTCTAGATAATTTCACTTCACAGACAAGGGGAAGTAGATGGGATTTCAAGACACGAAACCGAACAAACTGAAATTTGTGCTGTATCATTCCTGATGAGGTGCACTATGGTGCACCACTTCTGAATCGCCATCAGTATTGTCTGATGAAAAGAAAGTCAAGTGTCCCCATCCATCCCTGCTTGAAATATCTCAGCCTCTATTATTCGTTTATTTATGAACATTATTTATAGTCCACATTTCTCACTGAGAATGATGATTATGTAGCGTACGTTAAATACAATCCACGGGATGGGACGTCGAATGCAGAAATTTCGAAGCAAGCAAGAATTTAAAACTGAGCTGAAACAAAAGATAATGAAGAGCTGAAGAGTTGGGTTTGAAGAGCTGCAGTGGCTCAAGTGGTTAAGATGCTCAACTGCAGGCTGTGAAAGGTCGGTAGTTCAGCAGTTCGAGACCTGAGTGTGCCGCATGACGGAGTGAGCTCCCGTCTCTAGTTCCAGCTCCTGCCAACCTAGCAGTTCGAAAGCAAGAAATTGCAAGTAGATAAATAGGTACCACTTCGGTGGGAAGGTAACAGCGTTCTGTGCACCTTGGTGTTTAGTCATGCCGGCCACGTGACCACGGAAATGTCTTCAGACAGCGCTGGCTCTTCGGTTTTGAAACGGAGATGAGCACCGCAACCCTAGAGTCGGATTCGACTGGCTTTCGAGCAAGGGAACCTTTACCTTTCTCTACCATAAGGAGTCTCAAAGCAGCTTACAATCTCCTTCCTTTTCTCTCCTCACAACAGGCACCTTGTGAGGTAGGTGGGGCTGAAACAGTTTGGAGAGAACTGTGATTGGCCTAAGGTCACCCAGCAGGCTTCCTGTGGAGGGGAGGGGAATCAAACCAGGTTCTCCAGATTAGAGTCCACTGCTCTTAATTGCTACATCACGCTGGCTCTTTAAACATTACACATTAAATGGTGTAGGAACTACATAGCGGTAATACAGTAATATAGGTCACAGCCCCTATCCCTTTACCAATACTATTTTCTGAACCATTATATTACAGTACAGTCCTGTCTAACCTGTGCACAAAAGTCCTCTTGAATAATTCTGTTTTGCATAGTTTGTGGGAAGCCAGGAAAGTGGAAGCCTTTCTAAACTTATCAGGTGGTCCATTCTGTAAGGTGGGGGCCGCAACAAAAACCACACAGGTACGGGTAGTTATTGATTTGGGTCATTTGCAGGGTGGCGCCCTGCTGAGATGAGTGAAGTTTTCGTGGTGAAGCATGCAGATACGAGGGACCAAGGCCATGAAGGGATTTGTACTTAATGGTCAATATCTTGAATTGAGCTGCCAATAGAGTGACTGCAGAATGGGAGTGATAATCTTTTGGAACGGATGCTCTGTCGTTTCAGCCTGTTCAGCAACTCTGCCCTCCGTATGATCTTCTAGTGCTGACTGTACTTACCAGATTTTTAACATCTGTTTTAATAGTTTTGTTTTAATATTTTACATCATACCCTGGGAATAACTGTTAAAAGTTTATAGGTACAGAAAGCCACGAGCATTTGCTTTTGAAGTTCATCTATGCTCCAGGCTTTATGAGGATTTTCAGTACCCTGTTTGTTACAAGTGGGAAGCACACCTTGTCTTGAGCCAGGATACAGACAGCTTTAGGAACTTCTGAGGACACCAGCAGGAAGAGATCCATTGACTTTTGCTCCAGTATCTTTTTGATTTGTTTTAATGTGTTTGGCAGATGAGAC